TTGCAGCCCAGAACCATTTCTTGAGCCTATATGTTTAGCTTAGAGCATTGCTTCCTAGAGTCTTTCAGGCCACATCATATAACCAAAAAAAAAAGAATATAAACAAACAATGGACCCCAAGGTGTGCCAGACAGTGGAGGATGTAGTTTGTTGTAGGAGGGACCAGCTGCTCCAGGCCCATGCTAGTCACCAGGACCAGCTCCACAATTTATAGGGCCCAGTGCAAAATGAAAATGTGGGGCCCCTATTCAGAAATTAAAAATTTTAAGACTAAACTAAGCACCATATGACTATAGTAGTGGCACATCCCTGAAGCTGGCACACTGAGAATCTTTGCTGAAGGACCCCTTGCTGTTTGGGAAGACCTACCCTAAAGGATTCTTTATCTATCTGTCCTCCCCCATAGTGATAGGATCACCAATGGTCTGGTGCAAGTTTAATGAACTGAACATTGGAAGAACAACTGTTCCCAAACTATTCTGTTTTGCTCAATTTGTTGTTCAATAAATTTCCAACTAAGAAGGTGAATGACTTGGTCCCCCAGTGAAATAAGTCAGATGGAGAAAGACAAATATATGATTTCATTTATATGCTGAATCTAATGAAGAAAATAAACTATCAAACAAAATAGAAACAAATTCATAGATACAGAGAATAGACTGACAGCTGTCAGAGGGGAAGGGGGTTGGGAGGCTAAGTGAAAAAAGAAAAGGGATTAAGTAAAGAAAGTAAAACTCTTAGACACAGAAAACAGTATAGCAATTACCAGAGGGAAAGGAGGTTGCGGGGAAGAAGAGGGTAAAGTGGAGAATAAATGGAGATAGAAGGAGACTTGACTTGCAATGGTGAATACACAATACAATACACAAATGATATATTATAGAATTGTACCCTTGGAACCTATAAAATTTTATTAATGTCATCCCAATACATTCAATAATTTTATTTTTTAAGCCACCAACTGCTAATAAACAACCAAAGAAGGTAAAGATGCTAAAAAGCTTACTCTTTGTAAAATTGTTTGGTGCTATGACAGAGGGGTCAATGTGGGTAACCTGAGAATTAAGTTACTTGACATACAGTGATAAATTTCCCACATGCATTTCTCCTAAATAGAAGGAGCTTGTCTTGGAGGACCCAGGCTACCAGTGGAAGTAGAGAGCCTTTGTTATCTTCTCATTGTGCTTTAACCAAGATGTATAAAGAGTTGAATCTGGGAGTTGGACTAATAGTTAATCAAAATGATGATGCAGAAAAGTCAGATCCCCAAAAGAACTGGTGAGCAGAAGAGAGTTGTGGTCAGTGCATCTCACAAAAGGCCTGCCTGCCTCCTGGCACAAGTGGATCAAGCCATAAGCAGTGAGTAGCAGCCATGAATGAGCTCCAGTGAAAAGCTCTAGGTGAAAGAAAATTATAAACAGACATAAATAAGTGGGGTGGGGATGGGGAGGACAATGGCTCTAAAAAGTGATAGGAATCAGCTGATTTTAGAGCAAAGGCAACCAGCCTTATCCAGATATTCTCATATTTCTATCTTGGGCTAGAATACCACATCCTGATTTCATTCTTATGGTAAATGTATTCACTCATTTCCTACAGCTGCTGTAACAAATGATAGACATTTATTCTCTTTTAGTTTTAGAGGCCAGAAACCTGAAGTCAAGGTGTCGGCAGGGCCATGCTCTCTCTGACAGTTCTAGGTGAGAATCCTTCCTCGCCTCTCCCAGCCTCTCCCAGCTTTTGATGGCTCCAGGTGGTCCTCGGCTTGCTGCAGCACCCCTCCAATCTCAGCTTCCACATGGCCTTCTCTGTGTCTTCTTGTCATTGGATTTAGGACCTATGTCACTAATCTAAAATAATCTCACTCAGCATCTTTAACTTAACTATAGCTGCAAAGATCTTTTTCCAAATAAGATAACATTCACAAAGAATGGGTACTATGATGTAGTTCTATGTTTTTAGGGGGGCACAATTGAACTCCATAGTTTTTAATAACAAAAATTAACATTATGTTTTGGAAAATCTGTAACTTTAAACAAAGATACCCAGCAGGCCAGATCATGTGCTATCATGGGGAGACTCAACTGTCCTCCTTCCATGTTTCCATGAGGGCACCTCTACCCATTCCCTGGGACAGGCTGAGACTGGGTTCTGCCTGCCTCCCTTGTTCATCCTCACTCACTCATTCCTATGGGAGGGCTACAGACCAATTTTATTCTGGAAACTGAGGAAAGCTTGACATCCTTTGGGCAATTTACCAAGGATCGATATGCAGGCATCATGACTGTATTCCCCCATAAATGACAGGTCACTGGGCAGCTGGAAACCCTCCACTGGCTGGAAACTTGCTATGAATGATTACTGAATACCCAGCTTCACTCCAGATAGGTCCAAGGCCTAGATTTAGGAGTTACCTGCAAAAACACTTGTTTTGACTTCAGGTCTTCAGGTTCTCTAGCACAGCTAATCGAAGAACCAGAATTTGAAGGGTTTGGTCCTGGTCTTGCTCACTAATATATCTGAAGTTTCACTTGACAGTCACCTGGTTCTTCGTGTCTATTTTCAATTTTATAAGGTTCCACAGGGAGGGAAAAGGCAGAATTAGAATCTTTAATTTCCAACATGCCATTTTTCTATTTTCTCAAATTATGCATCCCTAACCATGTCTCAAATATCCAAGGCAGGGCCATCACTACTATTTACTAACTGTTAGCTATGGAAACTGAAAGTGTATTGTCTAGAAAAACAATCAACATTTATTTATGATCCTGGCCTTGTAAACTTAAACTTAGAAAGTGATAATACATATTATATAATCTGAGGTGAGTTGCATAGTAAAGCTCTGTACTTGACAACAAAATATCAACATAAAATCATAAACATTTACTTAACCATATATTGATTATAAAACAGCAAGCATTAAGCCCTGGCTGGTGTAGTTCAGTGGATTGAGTGCGGGCTGTGAACCAAAGTGTCACAGGTTTGATTCCCAGTCAGGGTACATGCCTGGGTTGCAGGCCATGACCCCAGCAACCGCACATTGATGTTTCTCTCTCTCTCTCTATCTATCTATCTATCTATCTATCTATCTCCCTATCTCCCTCCCTTCCCTCTCTAAAAATAAATAAATAAAATCTTAAAAAAAGAACCAAACTTAATATACACTTAAAGAAAAAAACAACAGCAAGCATTCCCTAGAATGAAACAAATAAAGTATTACCCTCATAATAGTAAAAAACTAGACACCACCTAAATGTCTAACAGTAGAGGATAGTTTAAATGAATTCTATTACCTCTGTGCACTGGGGTAGTATATGGCCTCCAAGAAAAAGAAGGCAAATTGCATAAAAGTAGAAGTTGCAGAATAATACATAGTATAGGACCTCACTTTTTATACAAGAAACAAATCATATATTTCTATATGTACCTATACATGAAAATGCTAGGGGAAAAGGCTACAAAGATTCATACTGATAGTAGCAGTTGCCTCTGGGAAGGGGAACAGCTTGGAGGCAGTATGGGACAAGTGAATGGGGTTTTCACATTTTGGGTATTCCTTTGATTTTTGATGATTAGCATGTATGTTCTTCCTACTTGAACAATTTAAATAATCTATCAATCAATCATTTTATTTTTAAAAAGGCCACTGACAAATACTAGATTTTTTAGAGGCTATAAAGGGACAGTTAAGTTTTATAAAATATAATAGACACTGAAAAATAACCAATAACCAAACAACTGTTTGATAACCAAACAACTATTCATGTGTGTGTGTACACTATAGACACAAAGCATACCTATATAGTATGAATTTATCGACAACTAATTTTATTTACAGATGTTATTAACTTATGATTCTTATTTTATTCTTTCTTTCTCTTTTCTTTTCTTTTCCTTTCTTTTTTCTCTTCCCCTCTCTCTCTCTTTCTCTTCCTCCTCCTTTTTCTTTCAAACAAGTAAAAGTTGCATTTCACAAAAGCACAATTCCCTATTCACCCTTCTACCCTGACTCTCAGGGTTAGCCCTGGATGCAGGTTGAAGTGAGCCAGCCCTGTACTCTGACAGATAATAGCAGCAAGACCTCTTTCATGTAATTAGTGCAGGTAAAGAAATCTCTGGTCATGACCGTGGGTTTGAAAGAAAAGACCACATGACATTGTCAAGTCAGCAAGACTTTGGAAGTATAATCAACCTAATTTAGAATTCTGGCTCTACCACCTTGTAATTAAATGGCCTGACAGCATAATTTTATGTCACCTATAAAATGAGGGGCAAAAATAAATACTTCAGAGGGCTAGAGTAAGGGTTCTAGGGGGTATCACACAGCAAACATCCAGCTAGAACCGGGCCTGGTGTGGAATACAACTGAATGAATGCTGGCCCTTTGAAGGGCTGTGTAATTTTGTCTTGGTCTTTCATGAGTGAGAGGCTCTGGGCTTTGAGTTGAAGAAGGCAGTAGGGAGCAGCAGAAATAGCTTCCTACCAACTTTGTGCCTCGTACACCTTGACCAGGGCTAGGTTCAAGTGTACATTCTGTTACTGGAAGTTTCCAAGTCCCCAGGAAACAAACACTATATTCACATCTTTCTCATTTTAAGGCTTTTGTGTTAGTGAAATTGCCTCACAAGCTTGATTCTTTATTTAGTCCAATTAAAGTACACTTTCTTTTCTCTTATTTTTGAGGCAAGGCCGTTACATGAAACAAGGTTCTAGAATTCCTTTAAAGGAAAATACCACTCTTCCATTCCTGCTGGCATTTGTCAACATGTTATGATTCTTATTAGTTAGACTCCATCATCTTTCTTTTTGTTTCCTTCCAGCACCCTCAATGATATCTTCAACAACTGGTCATGCCTCCCTTAGTATTCACAGTTTCTAATTGCTTAGAGCAGTGCTCCAAACTTCCTGGGTGAATCAGATGCTATATATAGAGCATCCACTCTTCTCTTATAAAACCCGAACTCAGTCCACCCCTCATCTCCATCATGCGCTCATTCACTGTCAGACCCTGCCAGCAGCTCCTTTGCCTTTGAGCTTCTCATCCACCGAAGATACCATGGGTAAGGTTGGTGAACTAGTATAGAGCACTTAACTGCCAGCTAGACTTTGCTACACTCATACCAGCAAAAGGTTGAGACTAAAATGGTGAGTGAATATTGGCTAGGCATGCTGTGAGTGTTAAATTACATAACGTACGGGAAGTGCCCAAGATAGTACCTGGCACCTTGTGGTGGTGGTGATGATGATAACTTGACTCCCTCCTCCTCCTCCCTCCTTTTTCACCTCCTTCTCCCCAAACCCTACCACTGTTCTTCCTCCTCTTTCCCCTTCTTCTTGTCATTTTAAACAATAATAGCAGCTATTATTTCTAGAGTCCTTACTACATCAGGCCCCTAAGCTAAGGGTTCACCCACCACATTGCATTTCATCCTTGAAAAATTATCTGGAAGGTAGACATTATTAAGCACTCCTGACTGAAATACTTAATAGTAATACACTGGCATTTCTGAGTCCAAACCACCACCTGGCACTTATTAATTGTTGGTCCATGAGCAAATAATCTCTTATCTGGGAGCCTCATCTGTAAAATGGTAGAATAAATATAGTAACTAGCATGCTGAGCTGCTGAGAGATGTCAGGTTATAGCATTTGTCACATAGTAAGACTCTCCTTGTAGCTGCCTTCTTGCCCCTATAGTTTAATTCTATAGACTAAAGCTGTCCAATAGAACAATAGATATGTGGAATTGTATGTGCAAGCCACCAAGGTAATGAAATTTTCTAGTGGCCATATTTAAAAAAACAAAAACACATGGGGATATAAAGTGCAGCATAGGAAACATAGTAACATAATAATGATGTACGGTGCAAGGTGGGTACTGGAAATATCAGGAGGACCACTTGGTCAAGTATATGATTGTCTAACCACTATGCTGTGCACTTGAAACTAATACAAAATAATATTGAATGTAAATTGTAATTGAAAAAAATTAAAAATTAAAAAATAAAGTGTTGAGGAAAAAAAACCAAAACACAAAAAGAAACAGATGAAATTAATTCTAACAATAAATTTTATCTAATGCAATTGTAGGAGACAGTTCTGTGTGGCGTGGGCCATTCAGAGATGCACAGGACCCACACCCATGGATAGGTTCTCCCGTGGGGAATCAGGCCTGCAATGCACCTAGGCTGCTTTGAGACTTGCTTTTGCTAAAACTCCCTCACCTGAATTAATACAGCAAGTGTTCACCGTAACTTCCTAAAATCCATGCTAAACCTTCCAAGGAGGAGTGTAACCTTTTCCCCTTTTCATTTGCAAATACCTTTCTTCTGTGATGTGATTAGCAGCATCGGCTCCTTTGTTTTCTGTAAAAGGTAACCACCTAAAGTGAACCTGTGCATAGTAAATAAGGACCATCATATAATGTGCCAGAGAAAACCAAATAAAGGCCTGTCATGACGGAGGCTGTGGCTTTTTGCTTCCCTTGAGAGAAAAAGCCATGCTGTCCCTTTTCCTCCACAGGACTCCGTAGTCCATGTGAATGTCTCTCCCCCATCCACAATGTCTCAGATCCCACGAGCCGGAGTCTGCATCACCCAATGTACCAAGAATATTATCATTTTAACATGTTAACATGTAATCAATATAAAAATCATTAATGAAATAGTTTATGTCCTTGTTTTAATACTAAGTATTTGTCATCCAGTGGGGACTTGACATTAGCAGTACATCTTGGGTCTCACCAGCCACATCTCAGGGGCTCAAGACCTACACATGACTGGTGGCTAAAGCACTGAACAGGGCAGTGACAGACAAAGAAGATGGGATAGATCAGCAAGGGTAAGTCATCTGTCCCAGGCCACACAGCACACAGGTGGTACAACCAGGATTCAAACCATGCCTCTCTAGCTCCTAAGCTCTGATGATTTTGTCATACAAGCAGTTAAATAGTGGTTCATGGGCCTACTTTAATTTATTTCTTCTAGGTCTCCATGTGGAATGATTATTATATTGGAAGGGTGACTGGAAACTCAGCCCTTTAGTCTGGTAGGTTATCCCCCATATCTCTAACCAGTTATTGTCATACTAATGTTCATGTGCCTTCTTGAGGAGGGGACCACTCTTATTCTGTTAAGAAATAAATACAGCTGAGTGCCTCAACTGCCTTTATTCCCAGAGGTAACCTCTTTCCTTAAGTTGGTGTCCTTTCCACTTAAGACCAGACCTTGACAAGTCTGAGACATACTCAGGGAATAGGATGACTAAGTGGTGCTGGTCTCTAGGGACAGCGCACTACTTGGTTATTCACCACAGTTAAGCACACATAAGCCTCAGTAATCTCCTCCAATCACTTTGAATTGCTTGGCTAAAATCCATGTATCTCTATCCCACCACTAATGCTCCCTGATCCTGGAGCATTTTGGAAAACATGTCTGCCTGAGGTGACCTTCATTCATTCATTTATTTATTTATTTACTGATTTTTAACTCTTACTTCTCTTTAGTCATCAAATTTCAGTTTTAACAAATAATCTTAGAACAATTCAGGTAACTAAGATTTGGGGGAAAATAGTCCTTAATTACACATGAAGAACTATTACATGCTCCATTTTCTGTAAATAACTTTATTAGCTGGATTAACAGACATTGTCACAGAAACTGAAGAACATTCAAAGCCACAGATCACTGCAACTGATATTTACAAAAAGCCATAAGCAAACATGCATTGCTCTTTTTCTAGGAGGACTTAAACAGATGTGTGAACACTAGGATTTCATCATGTTTTAGAGGTGACCTTTAAAAGAGCAGCACTGATGGTCTCCCTTCATCCTCGTGTTGTACCTCCTTGGAGAAGGTCACTGGGGAGCCCCAAATTGTTCTGAAAGGTGAGTGCTTCCTGCCCTCTATACCAACAATTCCTAATAGCTGGTTGGAGATCAAATTCTCACTTGTTCTCCACAAATGGACAACATTTTAAGTTTTGCCATAGATGTAAATTATTCAATATAGGTGATCTTCTTTGTTGTCCCAGCCAAACTGTATAACCATTATGACCAGTACTGGTTAGGGTGGTGCCCCAAAGGGTACAGACTTTGTCTCTCGGGTTAAAACTCTGACATACACCACACCAGAACTGGGGATACTGGAGCCCCAGAAGTATACATCCCCCACATGGGAGCTAACCATGTAAGTTAAAGAGAAATGAAAAATCTACAACACTGCATGTAATTTTAATTTCCTCTGAAATGGTGGTGTGCATTTCCTTACTTGGCATGATAATTTGATGATCCTATTTAAGTTCCCTAGAGTTATACATATGTAAGTGCTCACACATAGTATTGTATTTAGTCCTAAAATTATTCTGCTATGTAGATATTATGTAGATCTATAAAATGTCTGTCTGGGAACCAGAGATCTGATACTTGCCCAAGAACATGAGATATAGGAACCCTTGAACACTAACAAGAAATATACAGATCAACAAACTGAGAGGCAGTAATAGAGGAGAGTAACAGCTCTGCCACTTTCTTGGGCTCATCATTGCTTCCTGTTCTGAAATGAGTGGACCAGCTTCTTTCCATCATGACACTATTAGTGAAATAGCAACTAATATGAATTGTGTTGTTCATTCTACAAAGCATCTGTATGCAATACCAACTTCAGTTCTCAAAATAACTCTGTTGGATAGGGATAAGTATTCCTGAGTGAGATAAGAAGATCAAGAGGCAACTTATCCAAAATAGCTGAGTTAGTAAGTGAAATGGCTGGAATTCAAACCTAGATCAGTCTGATTCCAAAGCTTGTATTCATAACTGCTGTGATATAGTATGTTGCATAGCTGTGTGGAAGCAAATGGAACATTTGGGTGTAAAAAATATATACTTTATTGTGGATTTTGCATTCATCTTTGATATGGACAGTTAGCTTCGGTGTTTGGGATATATGATTTGGGGATGCCAAGATCTCTGGTTCTGATGTGTTAGAAGTTAGACTTTTCACCCAGGGGAGTCAGACTGTGCCATTCTGACACTGGCCACAATGGGAGTACAGAGAGAATGTGACTGGTGCAGGGCAAATCCCTCTGAAACTGTTGCCTTACTACTCAAAACACACACTCCATTGCAGAAGGCAATTATCACCTCCCATTTCTCCAGTACCTCCCTGTGCCTAGCCTGTACTCTACTGGGCATGATGTCCAAGAGTTTTCTGGGTACTGATCATTTCATCACCAATGTCTCCACATTTCATTCTGTGAGAGGAGTAATAATTACACTAAAAGGTTTAAATGAGGTGGAGTTCAAATGGAGCTTAAATTTGTTAGAAGCCCTTACTCTTACTTCGATCATAGTTTCTCCACTCCCCTGCACCACCACAAAAGACCAAGTGAGCAGATTTAGAGCACCATCCTGTGGCAGTCATGACTGCACCTACCTAATTGTGAAAAGGGGACTAAAGTGAACTCAGTGGATTAACACAATGCACACAGTTCAGATTTAGATAATTACTCAGCCAGGTCTGTGCATGACTTGAGTTCAACATTTAACAAAAGCAAATAGACTTGGCTCCCACCACCCTGGAAACCAGTCTTGGCCTGCTGCCGATCAAAAGCGAGAGAATCATATATTCTCATCTGCACAACCTTTATGGGTATCTATCTATGGTTTGGTTCAGGTCCAGGCACAAACTTGAATTAAAGGTTGAAATTGATGACTCAGAACTTAGCTGGAAATGCAGGCAATAAATGGAGCTGTGAACTGGAAGGAAAATGTGTCTGAGGATGAGAGGGAGAGACAAAAGAGCCAGATGCTCAGACCCACATCCCCCCAGCCTGGCCCAGGAGCTCCAATAAGCTGCCATGCTGTGGGCAGTAGAGGGCACTATCAATACGTTTGGAAGTGAGCAGCACACTTGAATAAACAGCAGGTTTAGAATAAGTTTAAGTTTGGCACTTGAGTGGGGGAAGGTCATAGGACTGTAGCTATCACCTTTATTGCTTCCTATTCTCAAACTCACAGATTAACAAGATTTTAAAGTACAGAGTGGCTATAGAGTGAAACTGGCTTCTGCATGGAATGTCAAGGGTTTAGGATCTAAAGTAGAAACACACACACACACACACAACCATGTTAAATAGAATTAGAACAGTCCAGCTGCATGGTGCTAAATGCTTTACATGCCTTATCTTATTTAATCTTCAACTCTGTGAGGGTATGTACTGTTGCCATCTCCATTTTACAGATGAGAAAACCAAGGCTCAGAGAATTCAAGTGACTTGTTCCGAGTTATCAACTGGTAAGTGGCAGGGCTGGGATATGAGTCAACTTCAGATGCCAAAGCCCATACTGGTAACCACCCTGCTATACCACAGGGCAGATATCTTCCATAATGTAAGAAGAAAACACCAACTTCTTAACTACCAACAGGAACTGAAGGTGTTGTGATTCAGTGCTTTTAGATCTATATCTCAAAAGTTATTCAAAGTAAGGGTGCCTAACCCTACTGTAGTGTCTCTTCCTCTACCAGCCTGCTCTGACCTTGTTCCAACAAAAAATCTGTGTTAAAAAACAGATAGCTCTGCTAGATGTTAAATCCTGAAAATCTTCATGATTTTAACCTCAACACCAACTCTCAAAGTAACCCAACTTCTTAGGAAGCCATAAAGTTAGGAAGTGTTCATCCTTTGATCCGTTTCTATCAGAGTAAGTGCTCAATAAGTGATAAATACATACATTAATCAACCAATAGAAACCAAAGATTCAATGACAGGCAAATGAAATCAAGAAAATCAGCAGATTCCATAGGTGACTGACTTTCTAGAGATAACACCAATGTAAATGTATCTTATCATCTCTAAAATAGTCCTCTTGGGAACTCCTATGATACTAAATTTCTGGATCCTTCCAGAAGCACTGCTCTGATTAATATCGTGTTCCTATAAACTACTGGGATAGGGATACAGAGGTTTTTCTTATTGTAATTTTCAGTGTTTGGAGTGCATTACAGGTTTTCTAGTTCAATTTTTTTTCCAGGGACAAACACATGGAGTGTGTGCCTCTTACCCTTCCCACTCTCCATTACTAGGAGATACCTTGTTAATGGATCATGACACTTCTCCCATTGAGCCCAGATGCCCAGTAAACTATCCATCAGACTGAATGCACAAGGTAAAACCTGCTTATTTTCCTGACTCCAGACATTTAGAATCACCACTTCAGCATCACAGCCAAGTGATGACCCAGCTCGTGTCTGAACATCTCCTTAGACTGGAAACACATTCTCAGAGAGATATAGCACATTCCATTTTCAGAATTCTTTTAGAAAACATTTCTTGGGGACACTTCTGGGTGAACACAGAGACAGAACACCTGTGCTTGCTAAGTCTGCCACTTTCCAAAAATTTTTATTAAAATACGCTTGAAGATACAAACAACAGACAGCAGCTGGCCCTTGCAGGGAAAGAAAAAAGACAAAAATCCAAGGGGAATTTTCTCTAATTGCATCGATGATAGGGATTGATGGAAAAGCACATTTTTGGAATATACCATATGTCCTACCCTTTAATCCATAACAGCAGAAATGCCCCCAAAGAAAGTAGGAAACACATCAGCCCTTTACTCTACTAAATTTCACTTAGTGCCCTTATTTCTACAGTGCTCAGGAATGAAATGGAAGGCAATCCCCAGAAACATCCTTCTGAGATAGCCAGAACTAGGGTCATAGGAGGCCCCACTAATGGCTTCGCTTTATCTCCATTCACTGTAAGACAGGAGCATTGGCATGTGCTGTGGCAAGAATTAACTTTGATTCTAAGGTGCTTGGCTATCTAAAGGAAAACCCTGTTGCTAGCAATGTGGTCTCCCATGCCCATGTTATACAATGAAGAACAACAGCAAACAGTATCTGCAACACCAAGTTGGGGTTAGAAAAGCCCGCTCTCACTCCAGTAGGCCTGCACTAAACAGTTATTGCTTGCTGAGCATGAAACCTGAGCTTGTGCTTATGTACAGCACTGAGTAATCAGAGAGAGAAATGTTAACACCCCAGGGAGCCCTGAAGGGGGCCTAAGGGAAATCTGCTCAGTCTGCTGACAAGACATACCTTACCCTCTAAGGAAGTGCTAATAGATTTGCAACAAAATCATACCCAGAGGCAAAGAGGCCCATAACAAAATAATGTGTTGAGCAAATGAATAAGAGAAGAATAAGAGAATGACTGAATGAGAGGATGATAAAATGAACAAACTTAAAGGGATAAAGGGCATAAGGAAAAAGAAAATGTCTCTAGAAATTATGTTATTTAAGAAATGGGCCAAGCGTGGATTTTTGCAGACCCAGGCCAGGAGCCACGGAGAGGAGCATATAGAAGGGATGAGGAAGACACCATGCAAAGAGCTCACCGGGAATCCAGACATTCAAGTATTCAGTAGCAGAACCTAGGCCCTCATTGGAGGCAGTGAAGTGCAGAAGACACAATGTGGAAATTAAATCGAGTAGGCACCCTTGAGAGCTGAGAACTCCTGGATGGGCCAGGAAGCTGGGATTGTTCTCCGGGGTTCTCCCTCATCACTTGGGTCATTCATTGGAGATGCCTTCCCTGGCGATCTAAAATACAGCCTCCCCTGCACTATTTACTCACTCTGTTGTGCTTTTCTTCATATTTATTTGTACATATATTTATTGTCTCCCTGACTGGAAAACCCATAGGGACAAGGTCCTTATTTGCCCACTACTGAGCCCTTACCCCTAAAAGAGTGCTGGATACATAGAAGGTATTTTATGAGTATTTATCATATGAATGCATGAGTAAGTCAAGGAAAGAAAAATTTACTACAACCAAACCTACTTTACTTTTTCAGAGCAAGGGTAGTTTAACAATAGGAAATCTACAATATAACACATCATATCAATAAGTAAATTTTAAAGGTACATTGAAAAATAAATCAATAAAATGTAATACCTAGTCATAATGGAAAGGAAAACAAATTTTGGCAAATTAGGAATGAAGTTAAACTGACAATGTGAGACAAAAACTAAGTAAAATCAACTTTAATATTTAATAATGAAACATTACTAACATTCCTCCTAAAACTGGAAATTAGATAAGAGTACATAACATCCTAAATTATTTTAATTTTTTTTGTGAATTATAGTCAATTCAGTAAGTACCAGATGGAATAAAGAGTTAAATGTAGATACAGGGCACTTCTTAAGTTTATAAAAAGTGAAAATTAGCTGATTTTTCTCAAAGTATCCAAGCATCAAAGCAATGAAAAACTCACAAGGAAAAAAACATGTATTTGTCTCAACAAAATTTAAGTATTTTTAACTTAAGCAGTGAAAGACAAATACCATATGATCTCACCTTTAACAGGAACCTAAACAACAAAACAAAGAAACAAGCAAAATATAACCAAAGACAGTGAAATAGAGGTCAGGCTGACAGTGCCGGCAGAAGAGAGGAGAGGGAATTTCAGGGGACAGTGGGAAGGGTTCACGGGAACAAACTTAAAGGACACATGGTCATAAACTAAGGGGAGGGTGGTAATGGGAGGGAAGTGAGGAGGGGTGGGAGTGAGGGCTGGATTGGGAGTAAAAAGGAGAAAACTGTATTTGAACAATCATTAAAATAAAATTAAAAAAATAAAGTACATTTCTTAAAATTAAAAAAAAGAGTAACAAAATACAGAGAAAATTACTTTAAAACCCCCACAAAGTGTGCAAAGTGTGTGTGTGCATGTGTTTGTATGTATATTAATTATATTTCAATACAAGTTTCAAAAATATAACAAATGAATAATGCCTCAATATATTGACAGTGCTTATAAATCTATAATAAAATTTCTTAAGCCAAATTTTTAAAATTTCAAATCACAAAAAGTCAAACTATAAAGGGAATGTAAATGTCCAAATAAAAATTATTCAATTTCTCCAATAAAAAATTGCAAAATACAAAAATAAAATCAAATTTTATTTCAAAAGTTTTCATTTCAGTGATCATGTGCTATACTTTTGAAGTCAAGTAAAGCAGCTTCTCTTATTTACTGGTAGCAGAAAGATAATTGTTGAAAGCAAAATGTTGAAATATACTTTTCTCTCACTTCTAATCTATTCTCTACATTACAGCCACAGTAATCTTATCAAAGGGCAAATATGACCAGGCCACTTCCTTATCTAAAACCCTTCAAAGACTTCCAGCTGCTTCTAGAATAAAGATCTATAGCACAGCCTACATGACTCTCTACAGTCTGATCCCTGCCTCCCCGCTGAACTGTACATCCCAGTATCTGTCCTGCATCAGCAAGAGCTTTCCTCTCCACTCAGTGTTTCTCAGTCCCTGTCACCCCAGGTTTACAGGTGTGATCCTTTTTCCTGGAATACACCTACCCTTCCCCCAAGTCCTCTTTATCTTTCCTAGGTCTTAACTTAATCTTTAGTTCCCAAGGAAACTTTCTGTTTCTCTAGATGAGTTCTCCCAGTAAAGGTTATCTGAACACCCTGGACCTCTCCTTCCTGGTACATATCACAGTTTTAATTTCAAATATATTTTTGGCTGGTTACTCAATATCTTCCTTCTTCCCTAGACTGTGAACTCTGAGATCAATGTCCAATCTCATTGTGTTTGCTATTGTAGCCTGAGTATCTGGACCATGGGAAATGTTCAAAAATATTTTTTGCAAGAAGCAAACTCTTCCAGTTCATCTTGGCCTCTCCTAAAATGGCAAGACCTAAAACTTGACCCATGCATGGTTTTGCCAAGGCAAATAGGTACATGGCATGCACATTTCTGAATATAGCCTTACTACGTGGTTAAACAAAAGTGAAATTACTATCCTCCACATGCCACCATTAGACTGTTTCATCTAAAATTTTATTCTTATGTACTTGTATTTTGGGATTCCAAAGTGAAATGTTATGTTTATTCCTACTAAATTTCTTCTTGTAAACTAAGTCCATAACTTCAAATTTTTTAAGATCCTTCCAAATCTTGATTGTGTTAAATTACATGTTTCCTCTAGTTTTATGTCACCCACAATTAGTTTTCTTCTAAATTATTGATGCAGGTTGTATAATTGCAATAATGACTATTAGGGTCTCTATTGTCTATTGAGCCCTTACTTAAAAACACTAGATCCTGTGACAGCTGCCTTGCATGCTGACTCCTATCACCTTCATAATGACATTGTGAGGTGGGTGTCTTCATCTCAGTCTTCAGAGATGGGAAATGTGCAGCTCTGAAGATCAGATAACTTACTCAAGATTTTATAGCACATACATGGAAAGACAGGGATCTGA